CATGAAATGAACAAACCTAAGAGAGGTCTACCCAAGGTACATATACACCAAGTATCAAAGCATTCAGGCTTGTAGTTTTCAAGAAGAAGTCGAGAAAGTAAAACATTGTCACGGACGACGAAGGACAATCACTCATATGATAAGCTCCACTCGACAAAGTAGAAATATAGTGTTTAAATCATGCCTGGACATGTTCCCTTAAAATAACAACTCTTTAACACAGCATATATGATGACGATAAAAATAATGATTTGTCTATAAACACTCCTTACCTTGGATCTGCATGTCTTTGGAGGTGGATTTTCAAATAGCACAAATACTTCTGTTTTGGTAAAAATAAAGTTGTACACAGACCTAACAGCTGCCATCCTTGTAGAAACACTGGATTTTTGTGAGCATCGCTGCTGTGATCTGATGACGAGGAGGATGGCTGTATATAAATATATAAGAGAACTATGCTAAAAAATGGACAGTGATTGATTTCTTGCATTTTATTATCACTACCTTTGTCCTCTTGCTAAGTTGATGCCACTATTTTTTTTATCAGAAAATGTATGAAATAACAACATCAAACAAAATATCTTACAAGAAACTGCAAGATTTAGGTAGCAAATGATCAAAATTCAATAGACCAAAGATTTATAAGATAATGGTATACAACTGATATGCAATGAACATCCTGTTTGATATCATGCAAATGGATTGATAAATTTAAGATGGAAAGACAAATGTACATTTCTAGAAATACCAATGCAAATGAAGTAGTTAAAGTGTTCGTCTCAAGACATTTGTCCTTGCAAATACACAGAGCAGGTATTACATGTTTTTTTTGTTTTTAAATGAGAGGGATAACCTCAGTAATTTTTCAAGTGCCCATTGAGGTCTCCGACGCCACTGGTCAGAAACAAGTCTGATGACGTAATTGATTGTTTGATTTGTGTAGTTTATTTGCAAGATTTGTCGTAATGTATTGGTACATCCAGACAGTGAAAAATAAATTCCAAGTAGAAACAAAATTAAAATTTTGAAATAGACACTACAACAAAATGTAGATTCTTTCTGATAACTGAATTGTCACCCACCTGTGTTTTGCCAACAATGTGTGGTCGTTTTGACGTCTGTTTGATCAGCTGACAATAGAGCTCACTCTGTAATACTGGATGTGTTAGACAGCTCTGCACAATGTTCTGTGCTAATGAAACGTGGTAATCTATAGAAGGTGTATCCATGGTAACACCCATAAATAGTTGGCAAGACTAGAAACCAAAAATATAGCATGTCATTACAGCAGGAATATGCGTAGTGGTGTTGGTTTCAGACAAATCTGTAGTGTCAAAAGTTGCATATAAAGTTCATCCAAGGAATTAACAACAAAGTTACGTTATTATACCTTAAACATCTTCAATGCTTCCTTTTTCAGCCCTTCAGTTGGTAACGTGGTTAGAGTTTTATCTAGACTGTCTTTACTGTAGTAAAGCATAGGATGCTTCCATAGTGGGTTGTTGATATCACCGTCAAGTTCCATCAACTTTGTGATTAAAGATTCATATTCGGTATTGGTTTTATCCAATCCACTAGTAGAAGCTAGCGTCAACTGGTACAGCCATTTATCCTGCCAATGGGAATTGAAACCGTATTATCAGGGTCCAACATGAAAAAATGCACACAAAGACTATGGTTTCTATATTCTTTTGAATAACTGGACTGGTTTCAAATTAGATATAGGGTTATTTATGGATCTGCATAGTGCAAGAGTTTGGCATAGTTTCAATTTTAAGACATTGATTAAAATAATAATTATTTACCAGTGGCAGGGTTTATCAAAGTAGACCGATGACTGGTTTATACCAATACCACATTTTATAACATGTACTGATAGTGTTACTCTGCCAAATCTAATCACATGGCAGAGTGTAATTTATGCATTTAGCAGTTAGCTAGACAGAGAGACTGAACATACAGCCTCCTGACCCTAATAAATTTATCAGATCTTCTGTTACTTTGGTAAGAGGAGTAAAAGTTCAGCTCTGATGAAATGCTGTTAT